TGATCATATATGGAAGCAATTAGGTTAAAAAGATTCAATAAAATCCATCTCCATAATTGTTTTCAATCTTTGATTTGTTAAGGATCTTTTACAATCTTTTTTCATGGTTTTTGTGCCAAATCTGATCAATTAGTATCAAATCCTTCCCTATTAGCATGTGCACGAGTTATAGAGTCCAAAGCATGCATAAAAAGATTTTTTAGGTTAAGGTTTATATTTTTCATGAATTAAAATGATTTAAATGAATATAAATTAATATTAATTCAAATAAATAATTAAAAAATATGAAAATACTTCCCTTTGGGCCTAGTGGTCGTGCATAGGCTTGGCATGAAGAAATTTGGAAGGAAAATAGGCCCATTTGCATTTTTAGGCCTTTTGCATCAAAGTTGACTTTTCAAAATTCCTAAAAATTTCCCAACTTCCACAAGGCATAACTTGGTCAATTTTTAAGCTTTTCACATGTTCTTGGACATTTTGGAAAGGTCTTTGAGTCCTTTAACCAATGCCTTTGGTCCCATGTCATTTTGATTTACCAATCTCAAGTTATGGCCTTTGACTTAAAGTCACTTTTTGTTGACTTTTGAAAATGACCTATAATGTTGAAATTGATAACTTTTTGTGAGAGCATTTCTTGGACTTGGAACATGAAGATGAATTGTAGGAAATGTCTTTCTCTTCAAAATGAGCTTTGGATGGAATTTTTCTGATAATCCATGTGAAAGTTATGCCCTGGTCAATTTCAGTTGACTTTTTCAGCTGTCCAAATATAGCAACTTTTGCATCTTTGATGATTTCTGAGCCAAATTTTGAGAATCATGATCAAGCATTGATCAAATGATGTTTGTGGCTTCAAAATGATATATTGACCAAAAATTTGAACTTTTGACTGTCAAATGACCATTTTGCCCCTACAGTTGACTGTAGTGCAATCTAGGGTTTTGACCGTGCAATTTTGAGCTGAATGCCTTGAAACTTGACATGAGGATGCTTGAACATCTTTGTAGGCATATGAGACTTGATTGGGCCTTTGAAAAGTTCATTTGCTTGACCAGAACTCAAACCCTAGTTTTGACTGTATAGGAGACAGTTGAGCTGCACCCTTGGGGAACTTTGTGACCTTGACTTTGACAATTCTTGATGAATATGGGAGGGCAAATTTTGGGGTGCAACACTATCTTCTGAAAAATGAATTACACATCTAATATCCATTAGCACAAGTTTCCTTGGGTCGCGGTTGAGGTGTAAAAAGAGCAATGAGAAGAGGATTCTCTTTTAGACATTAAAGAAATTCAACCTTATAAAACAGGGGAATTTCTTAATACACCTAATGTGCCTAAAAACACCCTGTGAAAATCTAAAATCTCTCAGATTCCGAAGATGCATCTCCAGACGCACCTTTATCTTCAGCCAAAATGTTTAAGCTGAGGCACAACAAGTATATTTTCCAAAATTTAATCCATAGATGCATCTCCAAATTAATTCTATATATACACAATTTATCACTCTATAAAACACTCATTTTTACCATAGATTGTTCAGGAGATGCACCTTTGTATTCACACCAGGCATAATCTAAAGACGCATCTCTGTAACCAGACTAGAAAGTAAATTTTAATTTTTTTTTATGATGCTCAGATGAATTAGTCAAAAGGTTTCCTATTATGAATTAGACCATACAACTGATATGCAGAAAATGACATATATAAAGTTATAAATCAAGAGTACATAACGAAGTAAAAATAAAATACAATCGAGAATAAATCCATAATACAAATACTATAAAATATTGCGTATGATGGACTCAGACTCGACCTTGGGACCCCTTATTCCTATGCTGCCTTCTATAATGCAGTGTATCCTGAGCCTCCACCGTCATGGCATCTACAACTTCCCTCGCCTTAGATCCATACGGAAAGAGTCCTTGGTCAATACATGTCTGCCCAATCTCTATGATACAACAACATCTAGGCAACAATAAATAACATGATCTGCCCTAGTCCGCTCCTTCTATAGTACACCTCGATGACCTCGCCTCAGTGGATCTCCTAGAGCATCATATACCATATAAGGATGTGACACTCTGAATAACCATCGAATGTAACCGTCTGTGTTGCTCCATTATCTCTCAATTATGGTACTTTGTGCCTCCTCTGGTATTAGATGATTAAATAATCATCAAACATAACATTCATATCTCTGTGTGTCATAGTGGGAGAAGGAGATACATAAGGGTCTCTGGAATTGTATTGCATGTAGTCGAACTGACACGTGAAGTGCTTAGTATAAGTCAGTACACATTGTGAGAATAAAAAGTGTTTCTAGATCTGGCCTTAAGATTTTGATGATAACTTTATATGATATCATAAAGAACAATTGTATACTCTAATGGTTTTGTTCTAGTGTGTAGATGTTGTTGTAATGTTATAACTTTGGCATCAAGGAATGTGACGTCATCAAGTTCAGAACATAAACACTACTGGAAGAAAAAATTTGGTTACATGTTACAGTTAAAGTCAAGATTCTAGAATCCGTCTTATGCAACGGTTCTTAGGAACATTAATATAAGAGGTTTTGATCGTGACTTTGTGGTTAAGCTTTGGAGGCCTTCTAAAGCTTTGCTTCTATGTGTTCCAAGTTCTGAAGATTATGAAGATGAGGTTTTGCTGAATAAGTTATGATGATCTGAAGAAAATCAAGTTCTTACGACCAAGTGCTGAAGACTCTGAAGATAAGGTTCTGATGAGACAAGTTCTGAAGACTCCAAGACTTAGGTTCTAAGACTTAAGAGTGATTCTTCTATAACAAGTTTCAAACATTCAAATTATCTAAAGCCTTCAAAGATTAGGAAAAGTTCAAAATGGTTAATGTGTAATGGCGTACAAAAGGTACAAAAAGTGCTATGTGACCTCTATCTTCTATGGTGGTGTAAGGACAATCCTTTCGTATTATACTATGTAACACTCTCATTATGACCGTTGAGAACAAACAACGGGATTTTCGATCACCTTTCTACCTCTTCAATGAATTTCTTTTACAAGCTATAAAAGGAAGACTTGCAAGCTAAAGAAAAGTAAGAATCAACATTACTACGAAAAATCTATCAGATTAAACCAAGCTCAAACAAAACTACACCAAATAGATGTGCAACTCTTTAGAGAAATATTCCGATATTTTTTTTTGTAAATAAGCAAGGATTTATTGCTTGTATCTTGTTGTAAAACACTTAGGTGCTTTTCTTTGTACTGGAATGTTTGTGTAATATGCTTAAAAGAAGAAAATTATAATACACTGAAAGTATTCAATGGTTGTTGATTGATTCCTTGAGTGACCAAGTGAAGGTCTGATCTCAAGAAGACTCTTGTTGCAGTTTGACTGAATTTGCAATATGGATCGACTGAATTATTGGGGGTGCCAATAAGGTTGATCTGACTTATTATGGGTTGGTTGTAATAAGTTTGGTTATAGTTGATTAAGTCTTTTTTGAAGGAAAATCACCTTGAGGGGTGGACTGGAGTAGCTTAGTTAATAGTGAACCAGGATAAAAATGATTGTGTTCATTTATTTTTATGTTCTAAGTTAACTTGGTCTTTCATCAACGAAAAGATTTAATTTATTTTATTGAAACCCAATTCAAACACCCTTTCTTATGTTTCTCACACATTCACACATGACCATTTTAAGATGCGTGAAAAGTGTTGAAGGATCCAAGCCTGAAAAGAGTTGGAACACATAAATCATTAATTAGTAACGGTGTTGCAATAGTGTAATTAAAATGACAGACAAACACTAAATGACTAAGAAATATTATCGTCAATAGTGTGATGAGGAGGGGACACTCGTCTCCTACGGGAAGAGGAAAAATAAGGCGGAGATACATGAGCCCCAGAAGCTGTCGACTCCGCATCAACCGGTCTAGAGGTAACAGAAACCTGCGATGGTATACTCTTTTCCTTCCGAACAGATGCATGTTGTGCAATTTTGTCGTGTCTCAATCGTTCTTGTCTATCAACCATAATTCTTATAAGTAAAACACACCGCAAGTATTACACAATTAATTCAATGCAAAAAAGGAAAAATAAATGCAAACTAATATACTACGGAGATCCATCTCCGAGTTCTAGGTTTCCAAACGTTGCCAAATTCCTGAGATGCATATACAAAATTTTCTGCAACTTTCACCGACGTTAATGGCGGAACACAGTCCCCTAAATCATAAAAAAATAATGCATTGATCAACAAAGCTACCTACCAAACTCGTTTCTCATTATGTATAAGCTATCAAACATGTATAATCTATCTATTTCATAACCTAATCATCAATTTCTACAAATTTATATAAAAATTCAATAAAATTTACAAAAATTAATAACTTACTAATAATTGCTTGAAATTGGTTGATTGGACTTGATGTTGATGAAATAAGTTTTGAAGTTGCTTGATTGCTTGAATGGGATTTGAGAGAGTTTAGAGTTGTTTTTTTAAAAGTGAGAAAGGACAAGGGGTTCTGGCACATTTTTAAACAATTAACATTTAGAAATGTATCTCTGTAGTGTACAAAATTATATCTCTGTAACATTTTTTCCATTACCTTATGTCTAATTCATAAATGTATTGCGTTGGGTTGCATCCGAAGATACATCTCCAGAATCTAAAATTATTATTGTATTTTCACAATATGTGCTAGTAACCCATAAAGTACATTAAGAAATTCCCAATGGTGCAAGTGCTTACTTCTAAAGTGCATAAATACAACGTAATCATTTAGAGCATATGTTTAAGACTATTACATCATCTTTATTAAACTTTTTATCATTCTAACAAAATATATTTCTCTCAAATTTTATGCTATTTAAGAATATTAATAAAGTATTAATGTTGTCTATCTTCTTTAATTTATTATACTCATAGAATTACCTTTTCATATATGTAGTTGTTTGAGTTTTAACAAATATCAAAATGATTAATAAATTTTATTATCTTTTGCATAGACAGAGAGATTAATTGGTCCTCAACATTGGAGAAATCCTCCTTGTTCTTGTTTCTGGAAGTCCAATGAATAATTCAGTTTCAACATCTGAACTTGGACTACTTTGATCTGCATAAGCTTCAACATCAGCTATATTTTCTCTATCATCTCATACTGCACAAGAATTTGGATTTTCATTGTTCCATAATAACTGAAAGATTCATAAAACTATGGGAGGATATTCAATGTTTGTTACCAAAAGTTAAAGTTATCATATAGAAAGTGAATTCACCTTCTCCGAGAGCATTGCATTTTCAGCAACTAGGGCTTTTTCCTGAATTGCATTCAAAACATTCTTTTAATAAGAATTGTATTCATGAACTCACTACAAATGGTTATAATTGAAACCACATTTACCTGCAATTATCTATTTCCAATACGACCCTATCATTGTTGCAACAGCTAATTAAAACCTTGATACTAATTACCGAGTTTATAATTGCCGAATGTTTCATGAAATGCAGATTTAATATTGCAATTATGGGAGTTTCCTCAACAACAAACGCCTTACCTTTTCTTTTAGCTGATCTATTTGTTCCATGTAGACTTGAGTCTGAAAATTAAAAAGTTCATATGTTAAAAAAATAGCTATAAAATTTAAAAATTTATAGGCTTTCTAACCTTTTTTGCGCGAATTTTGGTTATACTCTTCTCCAACTGTTGCTCTATTTTTTGTAGTTCATTAATGGAACAAGTCCCTAAATCTTCTCCTAAGAGTTTCCTGTATGGTGTATAAAGTTAATTCAAATGCAACATATTCTTATTGTCATTGTATTTGTCAGTATGAATATAAATTCGAGAAGTTTAACCGTTTTGAAGTCTCGAGAAGATCAATCTTTTTCATCATGTTTTCTGCTTCTTCCTTCAAATGCTGTAATAATGTATACATATTTTTCGGTATCTATAAAAGTATTTAAACTCTAGATGATAAATAGGAAGAAAGTAAATGGAACTAGATTAACCTGAGTATTTTCAACAGAATCAGATGTTGTTGGAGTATTGTTTCGGCTATGACTGCGGTATCGGTCAATTGTTTCTAGAATGCTGCAACATCAAAATCAGCGATACAGTTAAATCAAAGTCGCAAAATAAAAAGCTAAAATCTGACCTCAAGTTTTAGCATAAAAAAGTACAATCGAAATTGGGTTTGATACAATGTAATTCCAAGAGTGAAATGAGATTATGTTTGTAAGCTAAACAGTAAGCTATAATTGATTTCTCAAAATAAGATTGAAAACCCTAAACCATTATCATATACTTTTTTGTTGTGAAGCAAGTATGACATCAGATCAAACCTACAAGAAATTAATGTTTGAAAATATGTGGTTGATTGAACCGAGTTTGAACGAGTTTTCTATTGATCAATGGCACAAGTTCATGCGCATTTTGATGAAGGGAACACTAATTATTTTCAGCACTTAGAAAACACATGAATTATTTTCTTGTTAAAGATGATATTTTTGGAAACAAAGAGAAAAGGCACACTGGTAAAAAGATGGCGACCTAAATACTCGATTTTATCACGCTGCAACAACAACCAAAAACAAAGTAAATACTATATCATCGTTAATAGATTTGAATGGATAAATGTGTGCATCGAATGATGGTATGTGCATGATTGCACTAGATTATTTTACAAAGTCATTTCAAGAAACTCTGAGTTCTAGGGAGCAGGTTGTTCATGGTTGGAATCTAGTGTTTTCTCAACACGCCACATTATGACGAATAACATTCCATGAAAGACTAGAGACCGATTGCCCTATGCAATGTGTTATACAAAGTGATAGCTAAATTCCTTGCTAATCTACTTACTTGGATTAATTAAGCTATGTTCTCATAATGATGGGGTTCAGTCAGAAGTGGATAGGATGGATAATAATTTGTGTGGAAATCATGGATTATTATGTGATCATGAATGGTTCTATGGTAGGACCTGTTGTTTCGGGGCGTGGCTTAAGGTAAGGTGATTTTTTTGTCTCCGTATCTTTTTATTCTATGTACTAAAGATCTCTCAACACTTATTTAAGATTTTGAAGATAAGGGGATATTCATGGCATCGAAGTTTGTAAGCATGCTCCAATTATCTCTCATCTTTTGTTTGTTGATGATTGCTTTTTTTTCTTTCAAGTTGTTGTGAATGAAGCGAATGTGTTGAGAAATGTTCTTGCTACTTATGAAAAAGCTTCTGGTCAAGTCATTAATCTTCGAAAATATAAAATATTTTGTATCAGAGATGTCGTTAGTAATGTCAAAAATGAGATAGCAAATATTCTAGGGTTCAACAAGTTATGGGTACAAGAAAGTATCTCGGCCTAGCGTCTATGATTGGAAGAAGTAGAAAATCTACTTTCCAATATATAATACAAAGAGTCTGGTAAAAGATAAATTTTTAGAGTAGTAAGTGTCTTTTTCAAGCAAATAAGGAGACGCTTACTAAATTTGTTCTTCAAGCGATTTCTTGTTATGTTATGAACATATTCTTATTGTCAACGTCGTTTGATGAGATTGAGAAAATAATGAACTCCATTTGATGGGGGCATTATCGGGTTCATGCTAAAGGTATTCATTGACTCTCTTGAGACAATTTATCTATGCATAAGAATGATGGATGCATGAAGTTCAAAAATCTAAGTGCCTTCAATTATGCTATGCTTGATAAACAAGCTTGGAAGTTCATGACAATTCAGTGTAAAACGATCACCCGTTTATTCAAAGCTAAATATTTCTCCTAGGCGTGATTTTCTTGAGTCATCTATTTGGGCACAACAAGAATTGAGTGTGGTGAAGTATTTGGAGTCCAAATTTGTTGTGCGATGAGGGTATAGATGGAGTATTGGATCGGGATATTTTATTTTGGTTTCTGGTCAAAATTGGTTGTATGATAGTTCATCTTGACAAACTAACGATCAACCTTTCTGATAGTTGGAAATCTGAAGCATTCTGATTTTATGGTTACTGATGGAAAGTAGTGGAATACTAATTTGATTCATACTTTTGTTGGAGAAGTACAAGCAGTAAAAGTTCTTAAAACTTCCATGTTTGAAGTTATTCAGGTTGACAAAATAGTGTGGAAGTTTGAGAAGAATGACATGTATTCAGTTTGTAGTGTCTATCGATATTGCAAAGAAGAGGTTATTGATACAATCCATCCAAGGATTTGTGAGAATTGGAAGCTCTTATGGAAAATAAAAACTCTCAGAGGATAAAAAATTTCCTTTGGCGTTTGGGTAGAAATTATGTGCCAACAAGAAAGCGATTGATAGATAAAAGAGTTCAATGTCCGGACTATTGTGGTGTTTGTGGGAAAGGACTAGAAAATGATAAATACCTTGTCTTGTATTGTCCTAAAAGTATTGTGTGTTGGGTGCATGTGGAATTATGGCCTATTATTCAACAAGTGAGGAGTGATAGCATCCCATTCAAATCAATAGTTTTCTCTCTTTTCTATTTCCGAGCATTAAACCAAGAACAACAAGCTCAATTCTCATTCATATTGTGGAGTATTTAGAATGGTAGAAACAAATATATTTGGAATCATATAGAAGATTCAATAGTAACAATTCGTGGTTGTGCCCCTTACCTACTTTTTAGATTGATGAATTTTCCATAATTGCAATAGAGAAGTTCTAACCAAGTTGAAACCCATATGCATAATACATGGAGAAAACCTTTGATATATCGTCTCAAATGCAATATAGACGCCTCCTTTTCACAGCTTTTTATAAGGTAGGCATAAGTGTTTGTGTACGGGATGAAGATGGATAATTTGTGGCAGCTCGAACAGAGTGGGTGTCACCTATTATCGAAGTTGATATGGAGGAGGTTTTAAGCCTTTTGTAACAATCAAAACGGTGTATAAACTCAATTTTGATGGAGTGGACTTTGAGGTAGATTCTAAAAGCGTAGCAGATAATGTAAATAGTCAGCTACTTAATTTGCTAGAGTTTGGCTAAATTATCAAGGAATGTAAATGTTTACTAATTCGTTATTTTATGAACTCTAATGTTAAATTCGTTAGAAAACAAGTTAATGAAGTTACTTATACTTTAACACGGTTAGCTCTATCTCTTACTAATTTTCATAATTTTATCCATATTCCAACATGGATTCAACATCTTCTAATTAATGATATGAATGAAGTCTTTTCTCAAAAAAAAAGAATATCTCTCTCTGTTCATTTTGGATTATTTCCATGTTCATTTTGCAGTTAAAATATCTGTCTGTCTCTTTGTACTTAGATGCGTAAGTATGAGCACACTGCACATTTTCTAATATATCACATCACCAAAATTAACTAATAGAGTTGCATTTCTCGTTTTATTAATTAATATTGGAACACCACATTATCTTTAATAAAATAAAAGTACAAGAATAAATCAATAAATAAAATTATTATGATATTCAATCACACAAATTGAGAACAAAGTAGTTATAAATAAAATATAAAACAAGTACATGAGATACATACCTTGAACTTGCAAATTCATAAAGTCTTCCTCTTGGTGAGAAAACAATAAGAGCAATTTCAGCATCACACAAAACTGATAACTCAAAAGCTTTCTTCATCAAACCATTTCTTCTCTTTGAAAATGTTACTTGTCTACTTGTTGCGTTCTCTATACGCTTCATTTCTGTCTTTCCTCTCACCATCTTTGCTGAATTCACAACAACAAATAAAAAGGATAGAGGAGATGAAAAAAAAAATTAGCTTTTAAGATCTAGAAAGATAGAGGAGATGAAAAAAAAATGAAAGAGATCTATTAAAATCACTTACTAACCAATATAACCAAATTTTTAAGGCTGGAAGAAGCAAAGAAATTGGAAGTTTAAGGCAAAAATAAAAGAAAAAAACCAATAAAAAAGTTTTCAACAATAAAGTGAGATAATTGTCTAAATATTTTGATGAGAAAATTAAAAGGTGTAAAAAGGGTCTATTACAGACACCTAGGTTAAGATTTATTTGTCATTTCAAAGAAGTGATTTTTCTCAACTTACCAGCAAGAAAAGCAACTTCAAAAGGAATCAGATATGCATCAAATATTGAGAAAATGAAGGAGAGAAGAGATAGGAATAAAGGGTTGTGTCTAAAAAAGGAAAAGTAGAGTAAAAAATAAATAATAGCTAAGGAATCAAAAGAAAGTTGAAACTATGCATCCCCAAAAGTAGTAATACATATAAATGAGTAAGTTCAGACCAAAAGGATTGTATTTGGATTTGACTTTCTATTTGAGCTGAGAAAGAAAGAAAATACACAAACCTACCTTTCCTTATTAATCAAACTCATCTCATCTTGCTACCCCACCATAAATTTTTTTTTTATATTAAAAAATGAAACCTCATTATTTACTTGTTTAGGTGAAATCAGACTAAGTTGGCCAAAAGAACGAAATTTCTATATTTAAGTCAAAAGAAATTTGAAAATGATACTGCCAAATTTTCTATGAAAGGAAAAGGAAAAAGAAAAAGAAAATATATGTTTTTTTTATTGTGCAGGATTATTTGTTGGTGCAAGGACAGTTATAGGTAGTAGTGTTAATATATATATATATATATATATATATATATATATATATATATATATATATATATATATATATATATATATATATATATATATATATATATATATATATATATATATATATATATATATATATATATATATATATATATATATATATATATATATATATATATATATATATATATATATATATATATATATATATATATATATATATATATATATATATATATATATATATATATATATATATATATATATATATATATATATATATATATATATATATATATATATATATATATATATATATATATATATATATATATATATATATATATATATATATATATATATATATATATATATATATATATATATATATATATATATATATATATATATATATATTGTGCTTCGTTAACTTCTCCCTGTGTGTTTCAATTGCTTGTTGGTAAATGGTCATTCACTATAAAAAAAAATGTTATTTGTCAGGAGTTTAACTCTTCACAAATGGCAAAAAATTTTAACAAATACGAAATTTGCGAGGGGATTGATTCTCTAACAAAACAGAGAGTCGCAAATTTATATGCGAGGGTCTTTACATGTCTGCATTTTTTCAGGGGACTATACCCCTCGCAAAATGCTATTTGATTTTATAGTTTACCGCACGCAGACTTAGGTGCATGCTAGGTGTGGTCAGCTGCTGCTGCAGTGCGTCGAAATTTTTACTTGGGGTTAAGCCACTGGCAAAATGTAAATATTTTTTCATTTGCGACGGGTTAAGCCCATGGCAAAATGCAAACGTTGACAATTTTCTAGAAATTTATCTCCTGACAAATTGTAAAAATATTTATAAAAAAAATTAATATTAATAGAATAAAAACCAATAATGATATTTTTATTAATTATATTATTATAATAAAATTAATATAATAAATATAATTAAATATAATAAATATAATAATTAAAATTCAATCAAACATAATAAAAATTAAAATAAAACTTCATACTAATTACAATAAAGTTCTTAAGTTCAAAATAGTAGACATAAAATCTTTCATACAAATTAAAATAAATATTAAATTTTCAAATTTAAACATCCTATTCTTGTTCATCTTGTTCTTCTCCTTGCTTTTCTTCTTCAACAATTCGTCCATATCCACAAGTTCTTCCAAATCACCTACAGGAACTTTGTGAAACAAAAAATTGATCAAATATTTGAACCCGCTTGTTGTACCCCAAAATTTGCCCTCTCATTTTTACTTAAAACATGCTCCTAGAGATCCTCAGTTGCTCAAGGTTGACCAAGAGTTGACCAGACAAATTCTCCTCCTAAGCAATGAACCTCTAACTAGGGTTTTACTTCTCATCAAGATGTGTGAGCTCTAAAGATCTCAAATGTTTTCCATTGTCCTAGCATGTCTTCAAGATGGTCCATGACAAGTTTCATCCCTTGCACTACAAGTTTGCCCAGTCAATTGCTCAAATGCTTAAAAATCGACTGTGTTAGGTCAAAAGTCAACCGTGGCCCATGTACAGTCAAACATCAAGATTTTTGATTAACATTAATATTTTAAAGTGATATCCATCATTTGATCAAGGATTTATCATGATTCCTCAATAAATACTCTCAATTTATCAAATGTCAAGAATTTCTAAATTAGGGTTTCTATAGGAAAAGTCAACTAAACTTTGACCAGGCATAACTTTGATATACTTCATCCATTTCCCCCCAACAAAAGCTCATATTGAAGAGAATATTATTCCCTATAACTTCTATTCATCCCTCAAGTCCAATAAATACACCATTTGAAAGATACAAGCTCATACATTACAGGTCATTTTCAGAAAATCAACAAAAGTCACTTTTTTCCAAGACCTTTTACATCAAGATAAAATCTTCAAATGCAAAATTTATCAACATAGGGATCGAAGTAGACATCTTGGGATTTCCAAAAAGTCAAAGATCATCATCATGAGATCAAAATTGAGCAAGATATGACTTTCCCAAGTTGGGAAAATTTGGGAAATTTCAAGAATTAGGTATTGAGCAAACTTGAAGTTTTAGGTCAGTGGCTTAATTTCTCCGACTTCAAGCATCTTCCTAAGCTTATAGAGGACCTCTAAAATCATTCTTACCATTCCCTGTGTTTTCTAGCTATTTTATTCATATTTATTTTAATTTATTTCAAATAAATATAATATAAAATGTATAAAAGAATTAGAAGTAGGCTTTGGCATATGTGCTGATGCTTTGAACAGCCATAAGGCCCATGAATTCGTGCGTTAGTGACTAGATACATCCATGTTTAAAAAAAGACAAGATTCCACATCTTTGGCCAAAAATTTAAAATCTTACTCATGGCTTTAAAACACATGATTAAGGTTGTTTAAACCATTGCTCTCTTTTCCACTCCCTCCTCTTTATATAAAGAACACACTAGCAAGCTTAGAGGGGGGGGGGGGGGGGGGGTACTTCCTAGAGAGAGCTTCACAAATTTTGAAAAAAATATCAAAGTTGTCAAATTCACATCTCCAATTCCAGTCCATTCCAGTCCAATCTAAGCTTAATAACGTATTCCCGAGCCCCCCAGGAACCCATCCCTGCCATCTTCCAAGCTTGTAGCACTCTCAAACGGCCAGATCACACGTCACCAGATTGGTATATTTCTTGAATTCAAAAATATTGCATACTGTGATATAAATGTTTTTTATGTTTGTGTTCATGTTTGCACTGATGTTTGTGTTTGATTAGAGCCATCACATGAGCAATTTGACACAGGGATGAAGCTTTGCCATTGTTAGGGAAAAGCTTAGGTCAAGCTTTTTACCTCTCTATACAGGCACTTTCAGTCTAAACCAAGGTCGTGGTTGGATTCGCAGCATGTGATTTAGGGGGGGTAGACATGATCTGGGGTATCGAATCCTTGTATTTCGCAAGATAAGCTCTTGGACTGGCCGAAAACGATGGTGGTCAACCACCGTAAGGGGTGGTTTGACCCTCCCTGTGCTGGCGTGGCCATAAGTTGTCTCATGATTGGCCCATTTAAAATAATGGGACCCCACCCAACGCACGCTTTTAATTTGAATATTTATCCTGACCATTGTTTAAATATAATATTATTGTTTGATTTATATAAACGAATGATAAACAACTCAGATGGTAAGGACAACACATATGTGAGAGAGAGGACCTGGGTTCGAATCCTAGGTCCAACATTTTATCTTTTCTAATATGTTTCATACAGATTCAGTGCTCTTCATGGCCAGGCACACATGGTACACCATCAATTCACACTATCATATGTACATCTGATTTAGATCAAGGCATCCAACCTGCAAGCTCACTGTGGACATACATGAGCTGTCCCCACTGGATTGTTTTTGCAAGTCTGGACTCTCTATTGGGCCCAGCGAAATTTCCAAACACACACCCCGATTTCTTTCCAGCATCTAGGCCCATTTAATTTTTGTTTTATCATCCTTTTTAATTTACCTTTTATTATTTACGTATTTAATTAACCAAATAATAAAAAAAGCTCACCAAAAATTAGGTTTAGATTTTTAAGTAATCAGTTTCTTTAATTAATTAATTATTTTAACCATTTTTATTAATTTAAAATGAATTAGAATTTAGGATATAATTTAGTTTTTAATTATTTTCTTTTCATAACAAAAATAATTTAAAAAAAACTTAGACTATTTTCTTAAATTAATTTTATTTTCTAAATAAGTTTTAGGACAATTTTAATTTAATTATTTTCTTAAATAAAAAATAACAAAAAAAAGGAACTCTTACTTACTAGGTTTTTAGACGTCTTTACCTTTCGCGCGTTATTAATTTTTCTTATTTTTACATTATTGTACCTGTATACTGGATGTAATAGACTAATTAGGATTTTTACAACTTTCCTTATTTTTTTTCCCCCAAGTTTTGTACATTGTAAATATCCACCTCCCCGAAGCCATGTAATAGCTTAGGGTTTATTCTCGCACTTTACATTCTCCTGTACATATTAACCGCTAGTAACTAGGATTCCATGGAAAGACTGAACACAAAAACGTTAGCAAACCTAAATGCGCAAGATAAATAATTGAATTGAACACAATTGCATATGTACAC